CCGGCCCGAGAGCCTTTTCCACCTTCCTGCCTCCTGCTCTCGCCGCCCCGGGGTGCCGCCATGACGGTGAGTGCCTCCCCGGGGGGCAGCCCCTCTGCGCCCCAGGTCCGGATGAGAGCAACGGCCAGAGCCAGAGCCGAGCCGCTCCCCTCCTGGGCAGCCCCCCCCTCACTTCTCGGAGGCGAGAGGAGGTCTCGGCCGGAAGACTGGGCGACCCCGGCGGCACGGGCCGGCCGTCCTGCCTCACCTTCCCCCGGCCTCCACCTCACCTTTCTGGGCCAGAAGCCCGGGCAACCCCCGAGAAGATGGGAACTCTCGTTCCCAGGCACCACCCCCTCACTTTTGCGGGACCAATCACGGGCAGATTCCGGGTGGCCTTTTCCCTTCTCCTTTCCAGCTCCCCCCTTGGTGAAAACCTGATCTGATACTCCTAAGCTGCCAGATCCGTAGAGTCTCAGGGTTTTGGGCCACGGGAGGAGCGGAGATGGGCCTGGCCTGGATCTGGGTCTCGCCGGGCCCTGGAGAGAGGCGCTCCCTGGTTCGGATGGGTCGCGCTGATGTGGGCCTGGGAAGGCTGTACGCCTGTGTGGGCGCTGGCCGGAGGTTGGGTGGGTGAGAAGGGGCCGCCTCTTCCCATCCTGACCAGAGCCTGTCCTGGGACTTCTGAAGCAGCAGGATACCATGTTCTCTCGGGCTTGCCACTTCGGGCTTGCCACTTCGCAGCGGCGCTGGGACCTTGGGTGGGGCAGGCCCGCTCTTGGGGGTGGGGAACACGATGGCAGGGATTTGTTTTTCTCTTGGGGATGAGCCCTACCCAAGCTCTCTCAATACATGCGCCTTATTTATCATATTGCACCTCATAGCTGAGTTCACCATTACCCCCATTTTACAGTCGGATAAACTGAGGCTTGGGGAGGGGCGTTGGTGAGTTGCCAGAGGTTACCCCGATTGTAAGGGAAGGAGTAACCCTTTTCCACGTCACTCTGGCCCCTTGACTGTGATGTTCTGGAAGAGAGGGGCAGGACTGCTTTTGGTTTCTGGCAAGTGACTTAGGGAGGCTCTGACAGCCTGATGAGGGGGGTGGGGAGAGTTGAGCAGGGTGCTGTATGCAGGGGCCCTGCCCCTGTGAGTGTGATGACCTGCTCACTGCCTGGACTTCCTCAGGCTCTGCACATCCTGCCACCTCTCTGCTGGCCATTCCTGTTGTCAGCAGCCTCCCCTTCCCTGTCAGGGAGGAGTAGAGAGGGATGTGGGGGGAGGAGCTGAGTCAGTGTCTTGGCCGCCCGCCCCCCGCCCCCAGCAGGCTAGTGGGGGGTGGTTTCATTGCTGACTGGGTGCCTGCCAGGCCCTGAACTGGGTGCTTTCACATTACCACATTGGAACCCTGAAGGTTGATGGTAACTCCCCATCTAACAGATGAGGACACTGAGGTGTAGAGAGGTGAAGTTACAGGTGACACAGCTGGGCCCTGGCCGAGCCAGAGTTTGTAACCAGGTCTGTCCCAGTCTTCTCTCAGGATGAGATAAGAAATGTACACAGTTGCCTTTCCTGGGGAAGCACACACTGAACAAGGGTAAGGCTGCTAGAAGCAGCATGTGGAGGAAGACAGCACATCCCTGCTGATGGGAGGGGGCTTCCCGAGGGAGATGTCCTCCTGTGACTGTAGGACTTGGTCAGGTGGAGATGGACTGGGGGAGGAGGAACAGTGTGGACAAAGGCTGGTGGCCATATTTGGGGAATTAAATGGTGAAAACATAGAAAAGGGACTTGGGAAGGAGGGCCTCAGAGGCCAGGAAGAGCAGCTTGGGCTTTGGTCAGGGGCACTGGGGAGCCATGAGAAGTTTCAGAGCGGAGGGGAGGCTCACAATCACCTTTGACAGCATTTACCGGATTCATCCTAGCCGCTTTCAGACCTGAGCCTGCTCCAGGCCGGTGTCCTTCCTGTTTCTTCTTCATACCCTTTTCCTCTCTCCTGGTCCCATCTCCCCGACCTCAGGAATCTGAACGAGCAAGTGGCAAAGGTGCTGTGACTGGGTAAATGCTTAGAGGCTTCAGGGAGCCAGGCCTGGAGTCAGGATCTGCTCCACCTCCTTTTGCGCTAGCCGGGTGCAGCCTTGCCCCTGGAGCTTCATTCCCCAGCTGCTACCCGGCATCAAATTATATACCTGTGCACTTGTTTATTGTCTGTTTCTGCCCTGAGTTTTCACCAGGGCAGGGGCCACATCTCTTGTTCACAGCTTATTTCCTGGCGTAGAACAGGGGCCTGGTTCCAAAGGAAAAAAAAGAGAGAGAAAAAAATAGAAAGAAGAAAGAAAGAAATTTTTATGAATGTTCCCTGAGTCCTCGGGTCTTGGGGCATGAACTCCCTGACTGAGTTGCTTCTAGTCTAGCCTGTGAGGGATAAGTAAATGGCTTCAAGACAATCACAGATGCAACAGAGGCCGTGGGAGGTCGCCTGGTGTGGTGTGTGGTGTGTACTGGGAAAGGGGCCTCTGCCGTGGCAATTAAGCCGGGTCTTAAGGCATGAGAAGGGGTTTGCCTGGTCGAAGGAGGAGGAGGCGGCGGCCTGGTATTTCAAGCAGAGGACACAGGCATGTGTGGAGGGCCCTACTAGTCCTGATGTGTTGGGCATCAGAGAGGATGTGTGATGACATAAACACGGGGCCCCCTAAGCAGTGGAGAGTCCAGGTTGAGGCTTTTGTGCCATCCTAAGGCAGCTGGACCTTGTTCTGAAGCCGTCTGGAGCCATCCCTGGAGGTTTTAAGCGGCTTGTGACATTCGGCCTTTTGGATCGGGTCCCCTGCCAGAGTGTCCTTACAGCAGGTTGTGTCGATGGTCCAGGCCAGCGGGAGGCAGTGCTGACCTGTGGCCAAAGGAACGAGGGCCCACTGTGAGGACCTGTCAGTGCTCCGGAAAGAAAAAAGGAGAAAGGGAGCTTCCTGCGGGAGGAGGAATGGTGTCTGGGCCTGAGGAGCCACGCGTGAAGGTGCAGGGGAGGAGATTTATGTTATCAGACCTTTTGACCCCTGGGGGGTTTCCAGGGTAACTTCAGGACCTCTCCTGCCAGCAGGTTTAAAAGCTCCTCTCCCCAAGGCCACTGCACCATCTCATGCTTGATGCGGCACGTGTGCGGCATGTGTGTGGTGTGTGTGCTGGCGTCTCCATGTGTGGCCCATTCAGTTCTCTCACGGAACCGAGGGGGAGGGCAGGGCCCCTCTATCATTAGCCACATCAGGCAGCCGGGCTCAGTGAGGGCATGTGACTTAGGAAGGTCACCGTGACCCCGCTTCCCAGGCAGCCCTCAGGGTCCCAGCCTGTCATTCCTGCCCTTCCTCAGCCTCTGGAAGCCTACAGCTGATCTCCCAGCCCTGGCTCAGCTCAGTCCGATTGGCTGGGTTATCTGCTTGTCCTTTCCGGGGGCTCTCTTCGGGTCAGCACAGCGATGCCAGCTCCGTGGTCCATCCCAGAAGGCCTGGCTTCTCATTCTCAGCGCCAGGAGGTGGAGGTGCGGACTGCCTCAGAAGCACAGGAGTTTAGATCAGGGAGGTAGAGGAGGGTGGATGTTTATTCAGCACGTTTCCCCTGGGGCCACGGGGGCGGGTCTCCATCTGCAGGTGGACCCAGATGACTTGGTGGCCCTGAGCGTGGCTACTGGTCTTCAGTCTTAGCTTGGAACCACCCTGAGTGGCTTCCGGCCCACGTGGGGAACAGGGTGGGGAAGGAGAGAGAGCAGACAGGGCATACGCAGCCTGGGGTTTCCCAGGTCTGGGCAGAGCCTGTGTCCCTTGCCTCAGACAGGTCTCTGGGCAGGGGCTGCGACGCAGGAGTTGGGCTGCCGGCCTGCCGGGATCCAGGGGCCCTGGTCCCAAGGCCACGGCCCAGGATGTCCAGGCTGCTGGCCCAAGCCCCTCTCAGGTCTCTTCCTCCACCTGAGGAAGAGGAGAATGGGGCTCCCTGACAGGAAGGCGGGTCAGGGGAGGTGGCCAGGTCAGGTGGCTCCGGTTTCCAGGTTTCCAGCCGCCACCGCCATCGCCGCCCACCCCACTGAGCCATGCCACCCGCTCCCTCCATGCAACCGGACACCTTGGCCTGGTGAGGCTGTGATGCAGGTGCTGATAGGTGGGCTCAGAGCCATGGCAACAGGTGGCCGCCTCCTCCCTGCCTGCCAGCCTGGCCTGCCAGTGGGCACGAGCTGAACCTCTGCAGGCGGACCGGGACTTAGACGAGAGAGTGGTCTCCCCAGCAGGCAGGGAGGGTCTGTGGATAGGCCTGGCCAGAGAAAATGCCTGGATGAGCAGTTTCGTCATCTAGGGTTAGGTGGGGGGACCTAGCTCACAGGCCCCCGTGGAACATGCTACAGCTGGGAGCCCCCAGACCCCGGGGCCGTGCCCCCCTGAGCAGCACCCGGCAGGTAGGGCTTGCTGGGACTGAGGTGCCATCTCCCCGGCCCTTCCAGAGATCTAGGGGGGGACCAGGAGGTCTCTGACCTCAGCCCGGGCCTGGCTCCATCTTTCAGGCTCTCCAGGAGATGAGGGAAATGCAGGGCTGGTTTTACCATGGGAGGGTTAGTGGGTTGGGAATGGGTAGGAGCGTTAAGGCATTGTCCTGCCGGGCCGCTTGGGCCTCGTCAGCGAGAAGCACTGGACGGTTCGCTCAGCCCTGCTGATCTGCTGTCCTCTGAGCTCTCTAAGGGTCCCTTTTTACAGTCAGAGATCTCCTGCCCCCTGTCCCACTCTCAGGTGAGGAAGCCGGCTGGTGGAAAGGGAGCTCAGAGGTCTGTGATGGGTGGCCAGTCACCCAGCCCACCTCTCAGAGATTGCCGGATGTTCGGGAAAGGGACCAAGGCTGCCTCAGTGGCTGGGGAGCCTGCCTGGATTTAGGGGGCTACCTGGGCCCTCAGCCCTCCCTCACTCGGGGGCAGGATGGGCAGCCCCCCTTCCTCCCCAGGCCCCTTTGGTTCTTGCTGGGCCTGACTCATCTGCCCCCTCCTCTCCCCATAGCCCGATCTGCTCAACTTCAAGAAGGGATGGATGTCAATCTTGGATGAACCTGGAGAGGTAGGAGGGCTGAGGCGGGGGTGGGTTGGGGGGTGGGAGGTGGGGATGCTGCAGGGCCCAGGTGGCTGAGCTGCTTCCCTGGCCTGTCCGGCTTTCTAGAGACCCTGGCTTCAGGGTGGAGAGGGTACAGGGTGGGGGCCGGAGTGGGAGCCTTGAGGGTAGGATGTTTCTTGTCCTGTTGGAAAGAAGGCCTTGGGCTGTGGGGTAGGAGGGCAGAGGCTTCTAGTCATCTCAGCCTCTTGGAGCAGTCTGCAGTCTGTAAAGGTCACCAGGGATGGCGGCCTCCTGGTGCTTCACACCCTGCACCCCATCCCCTCCTCTCACCAAGAGCCCCTCAGCCCTCCCACCTCTTGACGACCCTGGCTGGGTATCCAAGGGTCTGGGATGGAAGGATCCACAGAGATCATCCAGCCTGAGACACGTACAGATTCCCAAAGACTCAGCTTTACAGCAGCTCCCCGCAACCCTGGGGGTGGGGCTCAGACCACATTTCTTGAAGTCTCACCAACCTGGGGCCCCATCGGGTGAGTCACAGCTTTCTCTGGCCTCGGTGGCCTCATCTGTGAAATGGACATACTGGATAATAATAGTTCTTTCCAGGGTGGATAACGGAGTCACAGAGGTTAAGCATGTAAAGGGTCCCACACAACCCCCAGTGCCTGCTTGGGCCTCAGCTAATAACCCTTCCCTTTTTCTAACGTGTGCATCTTTACAACCAGAAGGGACAGTAGCCTTTCACCAGCTCTACCCTTCTGGCTGCCAGGCTGAAGCTGGAGCTGGCCTCCTGCCCACCCAGCCTGAGAAGGGACATCTCCCCGCCCAGGTCCTGCATGCGCCCGTGGCTTGGGTCTGTGTGCAGCCCGCATGCCGGGGAGGGCATGGAGCCAAAGGGAATCTCATTGTGTTTCCTACCCACATGCTTTATTCCCTCCAGCCTACAGCCTTCGTACCCGCTGCCTGCTTGCCAGTCCTCTGGTGGCTGGGCTCCAGGCTCACACAAGGCTGGGCACCCTGCCAGTGACCCTTCCCGGCCTCCCCCACCCAGGGTCTCTGGAGGGCAGAGATTATGGGCTCCACCCAGAACTGGCCGTTACTCATTCTGTTTCACAGAGTTTTGGAATGTCCGAGCTGGAAGGGCCCTGGGAGTTCAGCCAGCCCAACCCCTCGGTGCACAGACAGGAGACAGGCCCACAAGGGCTTTAATCTCTTCCGGGCCTAGCAGCACCTTGGGCAAACCCTGGCCTAGAACTCAGGGCACCTGAGGCCCATGCAGCTGCCATCTCAGGCAGTCACAGACTAGGCCTGGAGGGGCCAAAGAGATCAGTTGACACAGAACCCCTGCCCCACTTTACAGAGGGACAGTTGTCCTGAGCAGCAGCTCGGGCCATTCAGAAGAGCAGGGTGGTTCTAAGGCCAGCCTCTTAGAACGATCCCCAACAACCTAGTGCCTGACCCTATGCGAAGTGCCATGAGAGACGTTCCAGGGAGGGTTAGGCATTTCTAACTTCACTAGGAGGCTTAGGGTCTTATTAGCCCTACTTTATAAGCCCTACTTTATAAGCCCTACTTTATAAGCTCAGAGAGGTCGAGACACTTGACTAAAGACACACAGCTAGCAAGGCATACAATAGTTGTAACCTTGGTCTCTTGGATGCTAAAATCGTATTTGTTAGGGGAGGCAGTGTGGAAAGAAGTAGAAAGTATCATCCTGGCACATCCTTGAAAACTTACTGTCTTCCTGAGGAAAGAAAACGAAGTACTTGAAGTAATAAACAAGGGCTTAGTGATGTGGGAGAGCACCAGGAGGATATGCACTGACCCTGGCAGTGGGTGGACCTCGACTGGCCTTCCAGTGAACGGTCAGAAGCCCAGAGGTGGGCTGAGCTTGGCACTTTCATATCAGGCTGTTCTGATGCCCCCACCCCTCTCTTATGTGTCCTGCCAACCTAATCCTGGTTGGAGCAGAGAGAAGCCCACATCATAAATGTACAGATAATGTATTCACATAGCTGAACACGCATGTAACCAGCACCCAGATCGAGAAACAGAATACGACCAGCCCTCGGATGCTTCTCCCTGGGCACCCTTCCAGTCCTGCTCTCTGGTAGACTTGTCTTTGACCACTGGGGTGATTGATCTGGGGTCAGTGTACGGAAAAAGGTTTTTGAAGTTCTGGCCCCCAACTTGCTAGGCAAATGACCTTACACAGGTCATATCCCCTTCCTGGATTGCACTGGGTGGGATTTGCATGTAAGGAGCCTTGGTGATCTTGGTGGAAAGTTATCAGGAAGCCTGTGGAAGTGTCAACAAATCAGAGAAGGGCCCCGAGAAAGAAAAGAAGCGTGTGGTTACTGAGGAAAAGCCGACCCATTTCACAGATGCTGTCCCCGCAGAGAGGAAATGGGGGGGCTTACTTCAAATGGGGATTTTGTGACTCTGCACTGTCCCCTGCCCCCCACCCCTCAGCAGAGCAGGTGAGGGTGCCAGGCCCCTGCTGCAAGCAGAACGGTTGACCTGGCAGCGCCCAGGATGCCCGCGGAATGGTGCGCACACGCACGCACGCCGTCATTCCACATCCCCGCAGCCCCTCCCTCACCACCGTCTCTCCTTCACAGTGGAAGAAGCACTGGTTTGTGCTGACTGATTCAAGCCTCAAGTACTACAGGGATTCCACTGCTGAGGAGGTGAGACGGTGAGCTGGGAGGGCTCTCTCCCCCATCAGGTGCCGGGGGACACCTGGAAGGGGCTTGGGGGTCCTGGTAGGGTCACTGGAGTCCAGGGACCATCGTGAGCCCTCCTGCTGCAGGCAGATGAGCTGGACGGTGAGATTGATCTGCACTGCTGCACGGACGTCACCGAGTATGCGGTGCAGCGCAACTATGGCTTCCAGATCCACGTGAGCCTGCAGGCGGCTGGGGGGCGGCATGCCTGGAGGGCCCCCCAGAGGAGGTGTCGGGGTGGGGCGTGGCCCACCAGACTGGCTCCTGTCACTCATTTACCTGGAGATCCTGTCCTCAGAGCCAGTCAGAAGCCCTGCTGCCAGCGCTGAGCATTTCTGGGGCGATCCAGGATATCGTTGGCAGGGCTATTCAGATGTTGGAGAGATCTTGGAGCCGATGGGGCTCTCCTGAGGCTAGTGGAGGGGAGGTTTTGCATGCTCTGCTCACCTTCAGGCTTAAGACCTTAGATACCCACCTGGGAGGGAAGGGCACCTCTTTGGAATCCATAGTGGGGAGGGAGCAAGGGGGCTGGCCAGGTGGCAACCTACCTGTGGGGTGGACTTACAGACCAAAGATGCTGTCTATACCTTGTCGGCCATGACCTCGGGCATCCGGAGGAACTGGATCGAGGCTCTGAGGAAGACTGTGCGTCCAACCTCAGCCCCAGATGTCACCAAGTACGTGCTGGGCTGGACCGGGGCCTGGGGGGAGGCACTTACCCCCGCATCCTGAGTGGGTTTCCGGCACTCACCTGAGGGCCCTGTGGCTCTACTTGCTGGGCCTCAGTTTCTCCACCAGCAGAATAGGGAGAGGGAGAGGGCAGGGGGTATCCGTGGCACTCATCCAGAAATACGTTGAGGATTTGAGGTTTGCCTCTTGTCCCTCTCTATCTCCCCACGTCCTGAAAAGGCGGGGAGAGGCCTTGGCTCTTTGGAGAAGATGCCGGTGAGTCACGGCCCCATGAGGTGGCTGATTGGCTGTGTGCCGCAGGGGCTGTGTCTGAGCCTGTGTCAGGGAGAGGGGATGGCTACTTAGTCTGGGTGGGGAGCTCACTCCCTGTGGAGGTCACTGTGGGTAGAGGGGCAGGAGGATCGAGTGGCCTGGTGGTAGAGCCCCACACAGGATAAACCCCAGACGCCCGTAGGGGCTGGGACTCTGGCTGCTGGGCAGTAGGAACGGAAGCGTGGTATCGAGGGGTGCTGAGTGCGCGTCCGCCTGCCTGGCCACACCCTGGCTGGTCAACCTTAGGCCAGTTGCCGTCTGGCCTGAGTTTCATGTTCCTCACCTGTCACACCGAGGTGTGTCATGCGAGGACGTGCATGGAGGCCCCTTGTAAACTCTCAGCTACTGTGCAGCTGGACTGTGATTTAGTATATAGGCTCCGCTGCTACAACAAAGAAACCCCAAACACGGGTTTAAACGAGGGACAGGTTTCTTTCTCGCTCCACAGCAGCCCACAGCCTTGCCTCTGCGCCAGAGCACTGTCCACATTCTCATGGGTCCCAGCCAGGAGCCAGGCCAGGGCACGCCTGGTCCTTCAAAACGTGCCACCTCTCGTATGCACTGGGCAGGGTGGAGTCACACGGCCACGTGTAGCCGCAAGGGATGCTTTAGTGTTTGGCCGGGTAAGCACGTACTCAGTATTGCTATGGAAGAAGGGAACTGCCTCAGTCGTTACGGGTCTCCACAGTTTGTGCTCTGTGCACCCACCCAGAGGCCACCGTTCATCTTACCAGCAGTGACCCTGGGCATCTATCCTATTCCACTGTGAGGCTCTTGAACCTAGGGCCTTGTCAAACAGCACACCCTTAATACTAATGCTTCGATCACATTCTCAAAGGGCTTCCTGGTCGCTTTGCACACGTTTGCTCACCTAGTCCCTCCTGTGCGTGGCACTGTTGTCCCATATCACAGATGAGGTAACTGAGGCTCAGAGAGAGAGGCCAGGTACCCTGGACCCTCTGCCGGTAAGTGGCAGAGCTGGGATGGTTCCCAGGGTCTGTTAATGATGAAGCTCTAGTTCTAAGCTGCTTCCTCCACTGGGGCCTGTCCCCTGGCCCCGGTGCACGGGCGACACTGCGGAAGTGCTTGTTTTGGGACCAAGAGGGCAAGGTCTCGCCTGATGTGGCTCTGCTGGCCCCCTAGGCTCTCAGACTGCAATAAGGAGAACACGCTGCACAGCTACGGCACCCCGAAGGGCTCCCTGAAGGTGGGGGAGCAGCGGGCAGGCTCTGAGGTCATCGGCTGGGGCGGCCCCCGGAAGGCAGACGGGCAGCGGCAGTCACTGGACTACGTGGAGCTCTCCCCGCTGACTCAGGGCGCCCCGCAGCGGGCCCGCACCCCGGCCCGTGCTCTCGACCGCCCAGCCAAGCAGGAAGAGCTGGAGCGGGACCTGGCCCAGCGTTCCGAGGAGCGACGCAAGTGGTTCCAGGCCATGGACAACAGGGCCACGGATACACCGGCTGGCGAGGGTCCGCGCCGGGGCCTGGGTGCCCCCTTGACTGAGGACCAGCAGAACCGGCTCAGTGAGGAGATCGAGAAGAAGTGGCAGGAGCTGGAGAAGTTGCCCCTGCGGGAGAACAAGCGGGTACCTCTCACTGCCCTGCTCAACCAAAGCCGCGGGGAGCGCCGGGAGGCCCCAAGCGACAGCCATGAGGCACTGGAGAGGGAGGTAGGCGGCACTGGCCTCTGGGAGCCTCCTCACCCTACCGACACCCTTCCTATCCCTGCAGTCGCTCTATGGCATTCATCTTGCGTACCTACAGTGATGGGGAGCTCACCCCTGAGCCACTGACACCCTGCCCCCGCCCCCCCCCCCGATTCCTTATGAACTAGAATCTTCTTTCCTGGACCTTGGGGACTTTTTGTTTTTGTTTTTGTTTTCCCATCTGAGTTCTGTCCTCAGCAGTCACATAGAAGGGAAGAGGAAGAGAAGGGAGAGACCATTTATTGAGTACGTTCTGCATCCCAAGCCTTGTGCTAGGCCCTCTTTACCTCCATTGGCTCATGTAATCCTCACAGCAGTCTCATGGTCCCATAGGGTAGACCTCATCACTGTTTTACTAATGGGAAACTGAGGCTCCAAGGCATTTCTCCCCACCTACATAACGTGGGGGTGACCGCGGTGTCCTGCTCCCAGCCCTATCGAGCCTACTCTGGGCCAGCACTCTCCTGGGTTTCTGACCTGGCCATCCAGGAAACACCTAGAATGTCCCCCTTGCCTGCATCTCCACACGAGGGCCATTTCCTCCTATCAGCTACATCCCCACTTTCAGGCCCTCACTGACCTCGCCTTCCTGCCCACCCCTGCAATAGGTCCAGTCCCTTCGTGCCCAACTGGAGGCCTGGCGTCTCCAAGGGGAGGCTCGGCGTCTCCAAGGGGAGGCTCCTCAAGGTGCACCCAAGTCCCAGGAGGACGGCCACATCCCCCCAGGCTACATCTCACAGGTAAGGCCAAGAAGCTGTTGTGTTGGGGGTGGGGGCAGGTTTCTGGTTGCCACGTTGTGAGAAAATGGCTAATATTCTGGGAGCCCTTCCTGTGTACCGGAACCCGTGTGAGGCATTTGACATTCATCATCTCATTTAATCTCCCCAGCGGGTGGACGTGAGCACTGTGCCCATTTTTACAGACAAGGCCACTGAGCTATGAGAGGTTATGTGACTTGCCTGAGGTCAACCTGCCTGCAGATGTCAGAGGTGGGATTTGAGCTCGGGTCAGGCTGACTGCAGAGCCTGTGTGTGAGCCCCCACGTGATCCTCTGTACTTAGACCCCTTCCCCTGCACGTCTGGGGAAGAGGGGGCCTGGTGGAGAGTGGGATTCCTAATGGGCAGGCCCCTGGAAGTCGCTCCCTAAACACAGGGAAATCCTACCCATGCCTGCCAGGCCGAGGCCCTGCGCAAGGTGGTCTGCGGGACGTGGGCGCCTCCAGTGGCCCTCGGGAGACGCATGGTCTGCCTAGGACAGCGGCTCTCAACCAAGCTGATTTTGTTCCCCTGGGGCTATTTGGCCGTGTCCGGAGACACTTTTGATTGTTATGCCTGGGACAACTAGCTCTCCAGAAAAAATACATGTGTGTGTACACACTGACACACTTGTATATGTTTATTGTAAATTTCACTGATATAAAGGATGTTTAGTGTGCAACTTACAAATAAAAAGTATGTAATGTTTTTTATTGTGAATTCCATATAGCGAATTGATTTTTCTCAGAATACTTCCATTGATTTTTTCCGAATGCTCGTATCCACAGCCAGCCGACAAACGAGTGTCGTTCTAACGCGAATGTCATTTGGCCTTTCTGTTTGTGTGAATGAGTAAGACAGCAGGACAAATGTTGAAACTTTACTTGGTCAGTGTCACAGCAACTTCTTTGCTGAATTAGAGGACAGTCATCTGTTGAGACTATTTGAGAATATTCTTTTAAGAATATTTCTCAGGTTCCTGTTCTGTGTACAATGTGGTGGTCATAGATAGGGCACGCCGATTTGAAGTATAATCTGTACTGTGAGCATTATTAGCTTTTTCTCATCTCTTGCTTGAATCTGGACAATCAACAAAACAATAAATCAAGCCCTGATTTGTAACGTTTACCAGTTTCCATGGTGTAAATACTCCCGCTATGGCTGATGTCCCTGAACACAGAGTTGGGAAGCTGTGTGCCCACCGTCATAATGACATTTCCACCCTATAGATACAGGAGACGCAAATAACCTCAAAGCATAGCTACTAATAAAATGCAGTGAAATAATTAGGAAGTGATGAATTTTGAGTATCAGCTTTGTTTTTAATGTAACAATTAATTATAAGTTTATATGATATCTAATAATGGGTATGCTAAATAACCGTGCCACAGAATTCCTAAAAATTTGACAGTCGGCTGCTCCCAGCCAGCATGCCCTTGACTGAAGCAAAAAAGAATGCTGGGATCCCAGGCTCTGGGCAGGGGGACCTTCTAGAAGTTCTGAGGGGGCGTGGGGCTCTCAGGAAGTCTTCCTGGAGCTGTGGGTGGGAGCGTGGGCTGCAGCAGGAGGTGGAGGGCCAGTGGGTGCCTATCGTGGAGACCCCCACTGCCAAGCTAAGGAGCTGGGATCGCATCCCACACATCTGAGGAGGTTTGGGGTCTGACAGTGACATCGGGAAGGTGGGGTTGGAGTGCAGGGGGCTTGGGAGGGGGTAGGGCCAGCATCAGGAGCTAGGACTTTGCCGAAGGAGAGAGGGATATAGGAGGGCATGTGGAGGGAGGTGAGCTTAAGGCTGGGCCACTGCCCCGAGGAAGGCAGAGGGGAGCGGCTGGGAGCTGGGGCCACCATGCAAGGCCAAGGGCCGTCTGGGGCTGAGTGGTTGATGGAACGTTCAGCTGAAGGGAGACCAGGGCCAAGGGGAGTTGGGGTGTGATATAGAGGCCTAGCTTGGGGATCACCTGACATGGGGAAGGGGGAAAGGGAGGGCCCAGTGTTGTCAGGGCTCCCTTGAGGCCAGAGGAAGGTGGGGCATCTCTAGACAGGGTGAGGTCCAACACCACCACCACCTGAGGCATCTGGGGACCTCAGAGACCCCCACCCAGAGGGCTTCAGACTTTGCTCTGTGGAGGGTCCATTCTGGGTGGGTTCATTCACAGTCACCAGTACCAGAGCAGCTCCATCCTTGTCCATTTTACTATTAGAACCTGCATTAGATTCCCTTTGGAAGAAGGTTTCTGTCACTAAAATGAAGTTTGAAAAGCACTGCTCTGACTTCTCAGCTTACAGATCGGGAAGCTGAGGCCCAGAGAGGGGGCGAGACCTTGCAGCTGGCAGCAGACCTGTGTCTGCAGTCCAGGTTTCCTGGTCCCCAGGCGCCCACTGGGCACCCCAAGGCTGTCAGCATTTCGTCCTGCTCGGTTGGGACGGGCAGGAGGAATGGGGGGTGAGAAGGGCATAATGGGGAGATGGGGTGGGGGAGGGGCACCAGAGGAGAGGAGCCGAGCCATCTGCATCCCCTCGGGTCCCTGGGGAGGCAGCCGGAGAGTCACTGGACCCTGGAGAGGTGACAGCAGGGGAGGGATTCCCCAGCCTGATATCAGGCCGAGTGGGCACCCCTCTTCCAGCTTGTGGGGCTTGCCACCACAGGACAGCAGCCGGGGGCCTGGCGCTTCACCCCGCGGGTGCTTACTGCAGTTGGGGCCACGGGTACTTCTTTATCTACTTTGATCCATGTCAGAGGTGGCGGCCAACACGTTAGGCCCTCGGGAAGGCAGGTCAGAGGGAGCAGCGCCTGGCCTTCTGGGAGCCCCTCATCGTGGGCTGGTTCCCACCTCCTGACGTCAGCCTCCAGACGCCCTATTGGCTGCCGGGTCTGCCTGCCTGATCTAGCTCTTTAAGAACAGCAGTCCCACCTCCCATAGTGCTCCGGTCTCTACAGGTCGGCGATCTCTACAGGTGGACGCTGACTTACCTTAGGGACCCTCCTGAGTTGGTCTTATGGGGTCTGTTTTACAGATGAGGAGATTGAGGCTGAGAGAGGGAAAGGAGCTTGCTCGAGTTCGCTCCATGGTACAGCCAAGACTAGGACCCAGTCTGTGGAATTCCAGAGCCATGTTCTCTTGCCCTTACTGGGGGCACACACAGAGGACAGGCACAGAGGCTCAGTGGGACAGGTATCCCTTGCCCACCACTCAGAACACCTGGACCCAGGGGACCTGACCCTTGCCCTTCCCCCAAACTGGCCCATGCAGCCCCCAGATGTGGCTGCTGGCGAGGTGGGGGTCAGTCCCCACCGGCCGTGAGGTGCCCTGTGGCATGGGGGAGAATGCAGCCTCTTAACTGGCCCTCCGTGCCTCAGTTTCTTCCTTGGCTCTTCCCCTTCCCTTTTTAATGATCTTAAACATTTTTAAATTATATAATGAATTTGTTTACATTTTCAAAAATAATTCAAACAAATCAAAAGGTTAGAAACAAACACGTGAACTCTCCTTCCCCTGCCTGCTCCCAACCCCAGGGAGCCTTGGTTACCATTTGAGCACATCTATAGAGTTTCCTGTTGCAGCCGTAACAAATTACCACTAACATAAGACACAAATTTATCATCTCACAGTTTTGTAGGGTGGAAGTCTAACACAGGTCTCGCCAGGCTAAAATCCAGGCATCCACAGGATCGCGTTCCCTTCCATAGGCTCTGGGGAGGCTCCATTTCCTCACCTTTTCCAGCGTCTGGCAGCCGCCTGCATTCCTTGGCCCGTGGCCCCTTCCTTCACCTTCAGAACCTGCGAAGGAGAGTCAAGTCCTTCTCACTTCCCACTGAGCTCCTTCCGTAGTCCCTTCTGCCTCTCCCTCTGCTCCCCTGCCTCCTCTTCCACATCCAAGGACCCTGTGATTACTTTGGGCCCAGAGGATAATCTAAAATAATCTCCCTATTTTCAGGTCAGCTGATTAGCACCTCTATTCTCCTTGGCCGTGTAAGGTAACGTATTCGCAGGTTCCGGGAGTAGGACATAGACATCTTTGGGGCACCATTACTTTCCACAGTATCTTTCCATACCTTTCTCTGTTTTTATGTACATGTACTCAGACCTACAGCTCTAAGTGTCTTGTGTCCGTGACTGGGGTCCCACCATGTGTATTGTCAGAAACCAGCTTTCATCACCTAATTTTTGGGACACTTTCTACAGCAGTCCATGTGGGCAGCTCTGTCTTTTAACAGTTGCCTGGGTCCTCTGTAAAACTCAATCCCATAATTTATTTAAGGGCTTCCCTGTTAGGTATTTAGATTATTTCCAGTTTTCATCTGTTACCAGCCTTGCCACAGGGAATACCCTTGTCCAAGAGTCTTTGTACACATATGACTTTCTGTGGGATCATTCCTAGGAGTGGACCTGCTAGGTGAAGGGGTCGTTAAAATTAGGTGACGCCACCAAACTGCCCTCCACGCGCCTGGTCGCGGCTGACTCTCCCAGCAGTGGGTATTATCAATCATTGAAAAACGTGCCTGTCTTGTCTACACAGCCCCATTCTGCAGTAAGCCATTAATTTCAGCTGACTTACTCAGCACCTGCCACAAGCCAGGCCGTAGCCCAGACCCCGGGGGCTCTGAGCTGGATCAAATCTTCCTTCTTTTGGGGGAATTTATGATCTGGCAGAAGCAGAGCCTTTGGAGGCAGGGGAGAGGCTGCCCAGAGTCAGAGCTAGGAGGATCTTTAAGCTGGTCTGCTGGCCAAGTGAATTACCCAGGAAGAGAAAGTTGTAAAAGAATGTTCCAGGCAGTGGGAACATGAGCTAAAGCTCAGAGGTGTGAACATGCCATGAACTGGTTGTGTTTTTTTTTTTTATAATTATGGGACTTCTTGGTTGGGGAGGGCCAGGGATGAGACCACCAGGGTCAGAAACTGGAGCAGGGACTTGGCTCTGCGGGATGGGGGAGGCTCAGAAGGGTTCGAAGCAGGAGAATGACAGGGTGAGGTTTGTGGATGGCGGGGAGCAGGGGCAGATACAGGCCGATGATGCCAGGGTCTTGGAGGAGGTGGTGAAGCCTGGACCAGGGCAGGCCTGCCCCTGAGACTTCTTGTCACAGGCTGGGAAAGGGCCACCATCCAGGCAATGGGGGCAGCCCCGTGACCGCTTGGCCTCCCACCCGCAGGAGGCGTGCGAGCGCAGCCTGGCGGAGATGGAGTCTTCGCACCAGCAGGTGATGGAGGAGCTGCAGCGGCACCACGAGCGGGAGCTGCAGCGGCTGCAGCAGGAGAAGGAGTGGCTCCTGGCCGAGGAGACAGCGGCCACAGCCTCAGGTGAGGTCCCTGGGCAGAAGCGGCACAGTGGGGCCCAGCCCCATGAACCTCCAAGCAGAGGCTCCTCCTGACTGGATTCGGGAGGCCTGTAAATAAGAGGTGAGGGCCTGAGTGCCAAACTTGGGGTGAGGGGTCAGGAGCCCCTAGATCTGGCCTCTAACCCTGCTTGCAAAGAGGAAACCGAGGCAATAAAAGACCCCAACTCACAGACCATGGGTTGTGACTCCTCTCCCTCAGGGGCCTGCGGCCACTGGGAAGCCCCCCTCAAGCCACACACATGCCCTGAGCTGCAACTCCACGTCCCGGCCCATGCCGTGTGCTGGGGAGCGACCGCTCAGCCATAGACCCTGCTCTCATAGGAGTGCCGTCTCACTTGGCATGTGGTCTGGACCCTGGGGAGAGCGGGGAAAGGTGTGAGGATTTACCAAGCCCGTTACCCACGTGAGCAACCTTAGTCCTTGCAGTGCCCGAGGGAGTGAACCCATTTCACAGATGAGGTAACTGGGGCTCAGCGAAGTTAGCGACTTGTCCCAGATGGCATAGCTTGGAGGTGGCAGAAGCTGACGTTGGAGCTCAGAGCATTCTGACTGCAAAGCCATTCTCTGAACCCTTCCCTCTGCTCTCCCAAGTCAGAAACAGGAATGCCCAAGATGCTGGCCAACTCTCCCTCTCTGTACACCTGCCGTGTATGCCTGGCATCCTAGACACTTTCATAGGGTTTGCAGAATAATGGAAATGATGAAGGAGGCCACGTGATCTGGAACTTAACCACCTGCCAGTGCTTCAAGCACTCAAGCCCAGGGCCCCTCATCCCAAACCCTGGGGTCAGTGCGTTTTGCATTTTAGGAAGATAACCTGGTACGTATATTAAATATCCTCTCCCAGCAGGGTCTGGGCTTCACCCTGAAATCTAGCACTAAGGTTTTGGCAAATTTTGGAAATTTCTCAAAGTCACACTTAAGTGGGATAGTCATGATCACAAATAGCCTTGTGTCCGTTCAGGTTGGGGGTTGCCACCAAAAGAGTCCAGTGTTCGGAGCTTTGGGATTTTGGAATTCTGGATAAGACTATGAGTGAGGGCTTGTTTTTTTTTGTTTTTTGTTTTTTGCGGTACGTGGGCCTCTAACTGTTGTGGCCTCTCCCGTTGCGGAGCACAGACTCTGGACGCGCAGGCTCAGCGGCCATGGCTCACGGGCCCAGCCGCTCCACGGCATGTGGGATCTTCCCGGAGCGGGGCACGAACCCGTGTCCCCTGCATCGGCAGGCGGACTCTCAACCACTGCGCCACCAGGGAAGTCCAGGGCTTGTTTAATCTTCACAACAACCCCGTTTGAGCGTGGAAAGAGACTCAGTCCTTGGGGGCTCACAGCCTGAAAATAAACCAGTGGGGGCCAGTGTCTCTCTGTGCCATGCATTGTTCTGCTTGCTCTACACATGTCTCCCAACAACCCACGAGAGAAGGTGCTGTTGTCATCCCTGTTCTCCAGATAAGGAATCCAAGGCACAGAGGGGTTAAGTCCCCTGCACAAAGTCACACAGATTTGTACCGACCGCAGAGCCTGCGTTCTTGACCACTAGGCTGGGCCAGGCAGATGGACCTTGTTAAAGAACCTTCCAGGCTCTGCAGGGAGGGGTTCTTACCAAGAAATCACTAACAAGAGGTACCAGTGGTCAGACATTGAGGTGTCTCCCCAGCAGGGTCCGTCAGACAGGCACTGTCATCCTCCCTTGATAGACAGGCTCAGAGAGGTTGAGCACCTTACCCAAAGCCACTCAGTCCATGACACAGCCCGGCCCAGTGCTCTTTGCATTACCACTCTCTGCTCCTGTCTCCATATGGAGTCCCGGAGGAAGTGGAGCTTGTTGCTGCTGACCCCTCCCCAATCTCCGTTCCACCTCTCTGCCCTGCTTCCAGCCATCGAAGCCATGAAGAAGGCCTACCAGGAGGAGCTGAGCCGGGAGCTGAGCAAGACACAGAGTCTCCCACAGGGCCCGGATGGCCTCCAGAAACAGCACCAGTAAGATGGCAGTTGGGCCCTGCGGTCTGGGGACAGGGGCTCCCTCTGAGCCGGGAGCCCAGCTGTCCACCCTGCTGGTTATGAGTGGGGGAACCTGTGCTAAGACCCCTGGCAGAGGGCATGTCAGTTTGCCCCCAGCTGAGACGCCTGCTCCGGTCGCATGGCACCGGGAACAGAAGCAGTGGGACCTCAGCCAGACCCACACACCAGTGCACACGGCAGTTCTCAGGCCCCTTCTTGTTTAGCCAGTCTCAGTCTCCACCCTTCTCTTCCCCTCTTTAGTGTCTCCCTAGAGCTGGGCTACAGTATCAGCCAGTAGGTGCCCCTCTGCTGTGGAATGTTGGGGCTATGGAGGCTTTAGAGATGGGCTTCTCCGACCCATCCCCTCATAGAGGAGGCGCCTGCAGCCCAGAGAGGCTGTCACCAGTTCACAGCCCCAGAGCTGGCTGAAGGCAAAACTAGGGCGGGAACCAGGAGCCCTAAGCTGCTTTGAGTCTGTGTGACCTGACCCAGCTTGGCAGAGGGCGAGAGAGCCCGGGCCATCATTCCCCTCCTCTGCCCTGGGCAGGTCAGATCTGGAGGCACTGAAGCGGGAGCTGCAGGTGCTGTCAGAGCAGTACTCGCAGAAGTGCCTGGAGATTGGGGCCCTGACGCGGCAGGCGGAGGAGCGCGAGCACACGCTGCGGCGCTGCCAGCAGGAGGGCCAGGAGCTGCTGCGCCACAACCAGGTGGGCCTGGCCCCGCTGGGGTGGGGGTGGGGCGTGGGTATCCCGGCGCCCCTGCGCTGACCATCCCACCCCTCCCAGGAGCTGCACGCCCGCCTGTCCGAGGAGATTGACCGGCTGCGCAGCTTCATCGCCTCACAGGGCACCGGCAACGGCTGCGGGCGCAGCAGCGAGCGGAGCTCCTGTGAGCTGGAGGTGCGTCCACCCCTTGTGCCAGGCCGCCCAGCTGGTTCTTGGGGTCTGGGTGTGGGGAGTGTATCCAGACAGGTTGGGTCTGCCCTGTAGCCGGGAGAGGACGGGGCAGCTAGGAAGGACGCCTGCTGTGCACCCAGCACTAGTGGGCTGACTGGGTGAAAGCCCTCCCGTGGTAGGTCCTGCCACCCACCTGCTGTGTGACCATGACAAGTCACCTCACCTTTCTGAGCCCCAGTGGCTCATCTATAAAATGGAGCTAGCACCTCCCTTACTGGGAGAAGCCGGGGTGAAAAAATGTGTATGTGATCCCAGGGCCACCCTAGCCTTTTGTTGTATTTAACAAAAGTGTATATACGGCTTTACTCTGTGGCTGGCACTTCTGTAAGCCCTTATATCTGCTGATTCATTGAAGCTTCCTAACAGTCCTATGAGAAAGATGCCATTACTGTTCCCATTTTATAGGTGAGGAAACTGAGACACAGGGAGGTCAAGTATCTTGCCCAAGGCCACATGGCTAGTCAGTATGGGAGCTGGGATTTGAACCAGGCAACCTGGCTCCAGAGTCTAAGCTTTTAAGCCTCCTTCGTCCTGGCTGAACCTGTCTCCTCCTTGGTCAGGTCAGGGTAGCAGTACCTGCTCATCAGGGTTCGGGGAGGGCTTAATGAGGAAGCCCAGCCCACTCTGGTTCACCCTAGGGCCACACTATGGCTTCTTTTCGTGCTCTTTGCCCTGAAGTGGAGCGCCTGGCGCTGTGTTGAGGCCATAGCAGAGGTGACCATAAGCTACCCACTCACATTGTATGGACAGGGTGAGAGAGCAAGGAGAAATCAGAGAGGACTTCCTGGAGGGGTCTGCTCCTGGGGACATGGGTCTCGGTGCAGGTTGGGAGCTGCATTCTAGGGGCCTGAGGCAGAGAGAAGCCATGCTTCAGGGGTGCGGTGAGCCAGGGTAGCTCTGGCCTCTGGCCCTGCATCAGCCTGGCACCTGTGACCCCAGGTGCTGCTGCGCGTGAAGGAGAATGAGCTGCAGTACCTGAAGAAGGAGGTGCAGTGCCTCCGGGATGAGCTCCAGGTGATGCAGAAGGTGAGTCCCAGCCGGCCGAGGCAGGGCGTCGGCGGGGTGGGGAGCCCCTGGATCTAGCTGTGTCCCATCTTGTGAGCACCTGCTCTGTGCCGGCCACTCCTGGCCTCCTCAGGCTCTCCCCGTGCCTCCCCCACGTAGGTGTCACTATTCCCATTTACAGACAAAGAAACTGAGGCTAAGAAAGGTAAGAGACTTGCTCACGGCCACATTTGCTTTTATTTAGTCAGAAAATATTCATTGAGCACCCACTATGTGCCCAGCACTGTGCTGGGTGCTGGGTGACAGCCGTGGGCAAGACCAAAACCCCTGCACGTGTGCAACGTGTGTTGCAGTGAGGGATAAGCCGTGTTGCTGGGAGTTGGGGGACCAGGATTCGGGGCCCAGTCTGGACCACCCTTGGTGCCATGTCCCTTTGTCTTTGACACCCACTGCATGTCGGTGGCTCTGAAGTGTGTGTGAGCCAAACTCATGGAAGGGGCCCAAGCACTGGGCCAGGCTGACCTGGTTCTCCTCCCAGCCACTCACTGCTGTTTGGTCTCGGACAAATGCTTCACCTCCCTGGGCCTCAGCTGTCATCTTGAATGGGATGAAAATGACGCCGAAACCTGTGTCACTGGGTGGAGCCGGGGGCCATCTAGGGGGGCCACCTGGAGGGAGGAGGCCGTGGGGGCAGTGGAGGGGCCTGGCTGCTTTGTGCCGGCAGGTGGGCAGGGCCAGGAAGGAGGGCTTCGTGCCCTCACAACCCCTCCCCGCCCCCCAGGACAGGCGCTTCACCTCGGGAAAGTACCAGGACGTGTACGTGGAGCTGAACCACATTAAGACGCGGTCGGAGCGGGAGATCGAGCAGCTGAAAGAGCACCTGCGCCTCGCCATGGCTGCGCTGCAGGAGAAGGAGGCCGTGCGCAACAGCCTGGCCGAGTAGAGGTGGGCGCCCCGGGCTGGGCGGGGCTGAGGCCACGCGGGGCCTGGCGGTGTGAGCTGAGGCTCATCCACACCTGACTCCCCCTGCCATCGGGACCAGGGCACTTCCCTCTCCTAGCCTCCGTATCCCTTTCTGTAAATGGGGACAGTGACGCTAGCGACTCGGGGTTGTCGTGGGGACCTGTCGGACTCAGCCAGAGGCTGCTTTGTAAACTTCAGCATGTGTCTGCCGAGGTGGGCCAGTGAGTTCAGGGTCTGATTTTCGCCCTGTCCCCGCCATGTGACAGCGGGTGCTTCTTAACACAGAGCCCCAGCCACAGCCCGAGCAGTCCACACCCCTCCTCAGGGCGGGCAGTGCCCTAACTGATCTGCCTGGGCTTGGGCGGCAAATCCGGTGTGGCCGCCCCCTCATGAGACCCAGCAGCACAGCGCACATCACTAATCACCCACAGCGTTCCTTCCTCCGTGCTTCACACCCCGGACATCACTGGCGGCCGTGCTCTGTCCTGCTTCTGCTCACGGTCATCCCTGACTTGGCAGGGTGTGAAACATTTTTATGATGCCTTTTCCTACTGCCCTGTCTACCTGGAGCTTCCTCTTTCTAACACATCCTTGGGGACTTCCTAAGGCACTCCGGAGAGGCCACCCTGTGGGCCAGGCTTGGGGAGAAGCCCGGAGGAGAGGATCTGGCCAGCCTTTGGGGCCAAGAGGCATTGGAAGGACCTGCCAGCCACCCTTGCCTGGCCTAAGCCAGACTCCCACACTGTTTTTTTTAATTGAAATGTAGTTGACTTACAATGTTGTGTCAGTTTCTGGTGTACAGCACAGTGCCGCAGTCATATACAGAAATACATACATTCTTTTTCATTATATTTTATTACAAGATATTGAATATAGTTTCCTGTGCTATACAGTAGGACCTTGTTATTTGTCTATTTTATATATAGCAGTGTGTATCTGCTGACCCCAAACTCCTAATTTATCCCTCCCCCCACCCCTGCTTTCCACTTTGGTAACCATAAGTTTGCTTTCTGTGTCTCTGTTTCTGTGTTGTAAATAGGTTCATTTGTATCATTTTTTTTAAGATTCCACGTATAAATGACATCATAAGATATTCGTCTCTCTCTGTCTGACTCACTCCACTTAGTATGATAATCCCTAGGTCCATCCATGTTGCTGCAAATGGCATTATTTCATTCTTTTTTGTGGCTGAGTAATATTCCACTGTATATGTATACTTTATCCATTCGTCTGTCAGTGGATACTTAGGTTGTTTCCGTGTCTTGGCAATTGTAAATAGTGCTGCTATGAACACTGGGGTGTGTGTATCTTTTCTAATTAGTAGACTCCTCCACTCTTGTCTTCTAGGTCCTCGTGGTCCAGCCCTGCTGCAGACCCCCAGCCCAAGGGGACCAATCTCCCTCCTTCCCTGCTGGATGGACGTCAGAAGCCAAGCTTTCTCCCCACCCTCTGTGGGCCGCACATGCACTCACACCCACTATACACACACACACACACACACACACACGTACACACGTCCACACACATACACATACACACGCACACTCTCTGCGTATCTGAGCGCGCCCCTAGCACTGGGTCTTACCTTGCACCTTCTTCAGGATTTTATATGTGAAGAGATTTTTATATAGATTTTTTTTCCTTTTTTTTTTTTCCCCAAACACTTTATACTTTTTAAAAAGCAATTCCTGGTGGCGTGTGCCTCTAACACTGGCTCCCCCTGTGTCTCCAGACGCCTGCTTGGGCTTCTGGGCCCACAGCCCGGCCCGGGGTCTAGCGGAGGCCCAGCAGCAGCTATGGCAGGGTTGACTTTGCTGGGAGAGGCCGGGAGCCAGCCACCCTCTTTCTACCCTACCTCCCACTAACTACTTCCTGCCCTGGGGGGACCCACTCCCTGGGACTCTGGACAGAGGGACAGATGGACAAGGGGAGCCAGCAGCTGTCCCCATGGCCCCACCCCCTCCTCTGAGGGGTGCTGGGCATGGATCTGCGGGGACCACCCCGTGCAGGCAGGCGTTTCTCTCCTGCTCTGTGAGCCTTAACTTAATAAAATGTTCCGGCAGCTCTGGTGTCCTGGGTGGCTGGGCAGGGAGGGTAATGGAGGTTGGGGTTTCTTAAAGTGGCTTCACCACCCGCCCCCGCCAGCGCTCCACCCTTCCTGAAGGGGCAGCATGTGGGCTTCTGAGGGCGGGGTTGAGAATCTGGTTCCTCCACCAGGCTTTGCAGCTCCACGTGGGGTTTGCAGACCAGCAGGAACAGCAGTGACACCAGGGAGCTTTTTAGAAACACCAAGTCCAGGCCCCGCCCTGACCTGCTGAGTCAGGATCTGCACTTTAACAAGGCCCCTCCGTCTGAGGAGCCCGGGAGTGGGCACTGGGCCCAGCCTTGGAGGGAGGACTGGAGCTGAGGCTTTGCCGGTGATTGACCTTGGGCGAGCCACGCCCCTCTCTAAGAGCCTTAATCTGCTTCTCCATCAAATGGGTACCTTTCAGCCCCAGTCCTATACTGAGGCTGTGCCCAGAGGGCTTGTCCAGCCCTGGCAGGGTTGGGGGCGGGAGCAGTGGACGAGGCCACCCCAGGCCCATCAGGCCGGGAGGCCTCATCCCTGCTGGCTGGCTGTGCTGCTGATTGTGGCTCCACGTGGGGCTGAGAAGAGGCCCCAGTTCCGAGGTACTGCCAGTCCAGCCTGGGCTCTCCGATTTGCAGGGCTGTGGCGAAGGTGATGAAGATGAGGGGCCAACTTGAGCCGGCCCCATGCGCCTCCCATCAACCCTCGGGCACCTCCTCTGGGCTGGGCACTGGGTGTATAGAGTTGAACAAGAACTGGCCCTACCCTGCACCGAGGCCACAAAAACAGGTCACATTGGGTTGGGTCCCGGAAGTCTGTGGGAACCCAGAGGAGACCCCCAACCCAGCCCGCAGGGCAGAGAGGGTTTTTGGAGGTGGCTTTGGAATGTGACTTTTCTAGATGGAAAAATCGGGAAGGGCATTCCAGTTCCAAGGGAACAGCATGATCAGATGCCCTGTGAACTTCCTGGTACGTTCAGGGAATGACCCGCAGGGGAGTAAGCTTGTGGGCTGTGGGGGAAATGTGCCCCATTCCCTTGCCAGTGATGGTTTTAGGAATGAGCATGGGATGCGTTGAAGTTCCAGCCAATGAGATGCCAGGGAAAGTCTTGGTTGGGGTGGAGGGCTGGAGGGGGTCATCTGGAAAGGTCTGCCTTGATCTTAAAAAGGAGCACAAGGAGGGAACCCCTTGGCGGTCCAGTGGTGAGGACTCCACGTTCTTACTGCCGAGGGCCTGGGCGCAATCCCCGGTGGGGGAAATAAGTTCCCACAAGCCGCATGGTGCGGCCAAAAGCGGGGTGGGGCACAAGGAAGGGAGGCCTCTTTCTCCCAGCCTTTGGACACTGTTGGATGAAGTCCCCACATTGCCACCATCTTGCCTCATTAATGTGCTAAAAATGGCCGAGCAGAAAGAAAGAAGAACCAGGACCCCGAGCCATCAAATCACCCAGGCTTGGCACTGCCCTGCCTCAGGACTTCTTGTCTCATAAGGAGCATCCCATGGGCAGCCCCCGTATCCAGCCGGTTGAGTCCAGCGCCCTGCCCATCCTCACCACGCTCTGTTGTCTCCCACCAGCACCCCCAGACCTCCCTCGAGTCCATCCTCTGTCTTCATGACTCCCTCAGCCCAACTCGGGCTGCCTGTGTAGCACCTGGGCTATGGGAACGTCCTCCTCACCGGCTCCCTCCCACGCCACCCTCTCCTCAGGCAGGGCTGCCTGGACAAACCAAAAACTCTGGCCAACCTATGAACAGGTGCCCCACCTGAACCACTTAAAGACAATGAGAGATCACTTCCACCCCACCCCACTAAAAAATAGCTCAAATTAACAGGACTAATGATACCAAGTGTCTGAGGATATGAAAAACTGGAGTTCTCACGAACTGCTGGTGGGAGTGTTCTTGGTACCAGCACAGTGAGGAACTGTTGGCTTTTTTTTTGGCCACACTGCACACTATGTGAGATCTTAGAAGTCCCAGCAGTTTCTTATAAAGTTAAATACGCACCTACCCTGGGACCTAGGATTTCCACTCCTGCGTATACACCCAAGAGAAATGAGTGCTTAGGTTTATAAAATGACTAGTACAAAGATATTCATATGAGCCTTACTCATAGTAACCCATATCTGAAAACAATACACGTCTATCAAGAGTAGAATGAATAAACAAATGGTGGCATATTCATTCATTAGAATACTATACTGCAATAAAAAAAAGAATTATTAGGACTTCCCTGGCGGTTCAGTGGTTAAGACTCCGAGCTCCCACTGCAGGGGACACGAGTTCGAACCCTGGTTGGGGAACTAAGATCCTGCATGCTGCGTGGCGTGGGCAAAATTAAAAAAAAACATTACTGCTACATGCAACAGCATGATGAGTCTTCTAGACATAATGTTAAGTGAAAGAAGCCAGCCACGAAAAGTCCATTTACAGGAAGTTCAAGAACAAGCAAAACTGTCGCTATGGTGATAGTCATCTGGGCTCCAGGTAGGGTGGGGCACATTGACTAGTGGGGACTTTCTGGGGTGCCAGAAATGTAGCATATCTTGACCTGGGTAGTGGTCACACGTAAAAATTTGCCACTTTGCACACTTAATGATTTGTGCATTTGACTGTGTGAATCACATCTAATTAAAAAAAAAAATCCAGGGTTCCAGCAGGTGCCCAGGTGAGGCTCCTGGGGAAACCCCCAATAACCTGTCACACAGGGAATCTGGCCGAAACTACAAGGTTTGGCTGCTAGGTCTGGCCTCCTCAGACAGCCAAGTATGTGCTACGGAAAGAGCACAGGGTGGGGTATCAGACAACCCCATAGGGGTTCAAACCCCAACTGCTGCCTCCAGCTGGCTACATGAATCTCACAGAGTCACATCCCTCTCTGGGCTTTATTTTCCCATCTCTTAAATGGGAATGATAATGTCTACCACAGAGGGTTATTCAGGTATTAAATTACCAACTGGTTCAATGATCTATTACTGTATAATCAACTACCGTAAACTTAATGGCTTAGAAAAACAGTTCTTTATTATCACTCCTGGCCCCGTGGATGGACTGGGCTCAACTGGACCATTCTCTTGGTGTCTGTTTTGCAGTTGCAGTCAATGGTGGCTGGGCTGGACGTCCAAGACAGCTTCTTCATTCGTATATCTGGTGCCTCAGCTGGGGTGAAGGTGGCAGCTGGGGGGCCACAGGACAGATCTCTACCTTTCTCCACGTGGCCACTTCACGTGGCTAGCTTGGGCTTCCTCACAGCATGGCAGTCTCAGGGCAGTCTGTAGTCCGACTTCTTACATGGCAGTTCACTTCCCTTAGAGAGTTTCAAGTGATGCTGGTGGAATCTACAAGCCTCTTATGACTCAGGCTTGGAAGTGCTGTGGCACTTCTTCCGATCAAATTAATAAAAAACACGTCACTGGACTTCCCTGGTGGCGCAGTGGTTAAGAATCCGCCTGCCAATGCAGGGGACACGGATTCGAGCCCCGGTCCGGGAACATCCCACATGCCGTGGAGCAACTAAGCCCATGCACCACAACGACTGAGCCTGCGCTCTAGAGCTCACGAGCCACAACTACTGAGCCCACGTGCTGCAACTACTGAAGCCTGCGTGCCTAGAGCCTATGCTCCACAACGAGAAGCCACCGCAATGAGAAGCCCACACGCTGCAACAAAGAGTAGCCCCCGCTGGATGCAACCAGAGAAAAGCTACGTGCGGCAACGAAGACCAAATGCAGCCCAAAATAAATAAGTAAATAATAATAATAAAAAAAGCAAGTCACAGGGCCGGCCCATAGTCAAGGGGAGGGGACAGCCCCTGATCATGGATGCTGGGGGGTGATTCACTGGGAGCTAGCTTTCTTCTCTGCGCTCTGGCTTCTCCACCTAACTCTCCACCTCCTCCTTCTCAGTCTCCTGAGAATTCTCTTCTTCTGTCCCGCCCTCTAATGTTGGGGTTCCCCAGGGTCTGTCCTCAGCTCTCCTGTCTTCTCCTTCTACATGTTTTCCTGTGACAAGCTTGATCTCTGTCTTTGATCTCTTGTCCTTGGCTTTTGTCTGTCTGCAACCCAAGCCTTTCTTGGGAACTCCAGACCTGGGCAGCCTCAGTCTCAAGGCTGCTATCAAGGCCCTGTCTTCCCTCCAATTTGCTCCGCTTCAGTTACTTACAAGAGGCCACAATCAGCACAGAGGATGCAGCAAACCCAGCCTGGGAGGTCAGGGGAGGCTTCTTGGAGGAGGGGGCCCTGGAGCTGAGGAGGAACTAGCTAGACTAAGAGGGTGGAGAGAGTATTCCAGGTCAAATGAACATCACATTCAAAGGCACTAGATGGGAAAGGAAAGCCCATTCGGGGACAGAGCAGCTGGGTTTGGCTGGAGTTTGGAGTGCGTACAGGGATCCAAAATGAGGCCAGAGGAACAGGCCAGAGCTAGAATAGAATTCAATCTGCAAGGAGGGTGGGGACCCTGCATCCAAGCTCTAGCTTCATTCTTCTTTTATAAAAAATATTTATTTATTTATTTGGTTGCACTGGGTCTTAGTTGCAGCTTGTGGGCTCCTCAGTTGTGGCTCACCAGCTCCTTAGTTGTGGCGTGGGAATTCTTAGTTGTGGCATGCGTGTGGGATCTAGTTCCCTGACCAGGGATCAAACCTAGGCCCCCTGCATTGGGAGCTCAGAGTCTTAACCACTGCACCACCAGGGAAGTCCCTCTAGCTTCATTCTTAACCCAGTGGGGAGCCATTGGGGAGTTTTAGGTGGGCGGTGCCCTGGCTCAGGACGGAGGTCTGGGCAAAGACGGGGCTGTGGGCAACATCAGCACGGGGGGTTGGTGAAGGCTCTGAGTCGGTCTCAGGGTGGCAAGTAGCAGGGTGGGGGCGGGGGGTTGGAGAGGGGGACAGGATCCTAAGGAAGAGCAGTAAGTGGGTTCCCAGCAACCGGAGGGAGCGGATGCTTTGAGAAGGGAGTGGCCGACTGGGGCTGGGAGAAAAGGCCCACCAAGGGC